TGCTGCCATTGTTGGTAACAGTTCTGGAACGAGGTTTTCGGAAGGCCCTTCAGAAGATTCTCCGTTTTTGCTTAAACCTTTCCAAATGAGAAAAAAGGCTTTCCTTTAAGCACGGTTTAACTTCAGGAAATAAAAAAAGGCGCACGGAGCCAAATCAGGGGAATAAAGTGTCCCATCACAATAATGCTTTTTTTGGTTAGAAACTGCTTGACAGATAGAGCCGTGTGAACGGGCGCATTGTCCTGGTGCAACAGCCATCCATTACTCCACAACAGTGGCCTTTTTTCCCTAAGTTTTTCACGAAGTCTTTTTAGTACTTTAGTGTGGTAGGGTTGATTAAGAGTCTGACCACTGGGAACCCCTCAATCATTACCATTCCATTAATTTCGAAGTATTAGTATTGCTTTGAGTATTGCCAATTAGTATTGCCTTGAACTTTGATTTTGACATGCGTGCTTTGTCCCTTACCCCTGAAAACCGCTTCATTCAAACACACGTGCACAAGACAAAGTTTCATCTCCATAAGCCTCAGTTAATATTTGAAATGTTTCCGTGGCTGATATCTTAAGTTTCACAAGAAACTTGATGTTGATTCACTGTTTGGTTTTTATATTAGGCACTTTTTCCGGCAGAATGCGGTTGCACATGTTCACTCAATGACGAATATTCCCAACTCGTGTGATCGGTTAAGTCGAAACTAGTCGCATGGTTAGAGGAGATGCGTGGGATGACGCCATAAAACAGTTGTTGCCAACTCCATTCTTTTTTCAAACTACACACTTAGTCTCGTTTTTTTTTTTTTTTTTTTTTTTTTTTTTGTGTGTGTGTGTGTGTGTGTGTGTCACACCTTGTATCTTAAATTGATTGAGAAATCCAATAACTTCCAACTGTTTTTCTGATGACAGTAAGTTGAATAAAAAAAATTTGGCAGAAATACCAAATGAGATTGTTGTTCGGAAAATATAAAACAGAAACTGAATATGCTTGATTGCAGTTTACGACCAATTAAATAAGTACGATTTAATTTTTTTTAGATATTGAGATAGTCGAGACATTAGATTTATAAAGTTAATAAAAGAATTTTTTCCGTAATTTAAGTCCCGACGAGGTCATTGCTTATTTTTCCCGTCTCTCAGCATCGAAATAATCTTATGTCTATACAAATGTACACCTTCTAAAGTATAGTCGTAGTTAAAAAAATTTTCCAAGCAGGTGGTGTTTTTTAGCGATTTATTGAACAACATGAATGAATAGCCTAAATGAATTACTTTATTCATTGTCCATTATTTACAATGTCTGTCAATGAATCACATGATTTTTATCTCAGACTGAGAGCAGTAATTTTTCGAGGTGTTTAAAAAAGGATAAAGCAATTACCTGGACTTTCCAATTGTCTGGAAAGACGGCGGCACTAGCTAATTCGTATATTTGGAATTCTACTTCATTGAAATCCCAGCCTATCTTTTTTAGTGAAATGGAGCCCAAATACTCTGATTAAGAATATTTTTAGATTTATTTCTTTATCGATAACCCTTTTTTAGGGTTACAATTAAATTTGTTTTTTTATGTTGGAATTTTTACTCGTTTGTCATTTATTTCTTTTTACACTAAAACAGTTTCTGCTATCAATCTAACTGCAAAAGAGAAGGCCTTTTTGTTTCTCGTCTGAAAGGAAAATTAAATTAAATCTATGCTAAATCGAATTTTCATATTCTCTAAGGTGAAGTTTGTTATTATTAACACTGAAGTTGCGTAGCAGATTTACGATATAATTATGTCAAATGCTACTATCTCGTGTCAGTTATGTAGCATTCTGAAAGACACATGTACAGAAAAGTTTTTTTTAATCCAAAGCACCATTTTTTAAAGACATGAAAAAAGCATTCCCTTGTTTGGTAAAACATATGTACAGTATTTAATGCTCAGATCGCATTTAGTTTTCAATAAATAAAAATTTATGAAAATTTCTTATCTGAATCTTCAAACTATTTTCACAAATGAGAAACTTCACTTATAATTTGTGTTCCTAACTAATTTACAACTTTTTTCTTTCTTATCTAATTTCTTTCTATCAAATATATCACAATGAACAATACACAAATTTCCCCTTCTATTCGCTCATTTTTTAGTAGCAAGATAGATGACGTTCATGTCTATTTTAATTTATGTTTAAAAATCTTGCTTGAGTGTAGTTGTTTATGTTTTTATCACATTCTGTATTTAACTATTTTAAGCGAGAATAATGATTGAAAAATGTGAAACCTCTCAGATTTTATATTACGCCCAAACGGGAGTTTTTTTAACGTTTTGTGTGTTACCTTTATTTATTGAATATCATGTTCTTCGCACTTCTAAACCATAAAATTCCATTCAAGGGCAATATTGCAAAACATTTAAAAGAGCGCATCTTTAGAATTTCCGATACACAGTCTCGCGCGCTGGAAATAATTTTTTTTTCGTACAGTGTTGCCAATGCTCGCTTTGAAATCGTGGTGTTTTCTTATTCAAAACTCACAAATGCTTTACAAAATATGAAACAGATAATAAAACAAATTCCTAATTCCAAATTTGGGCTTCCAGATGCTCATATTTGGGTGAAGACGCACGTTACTCAAAATTGGATAGCTCTAGGTATTGTTTTATCACAATGCGGAAACATACAAACATACATTTATGCAGATCCTTCATCATTTATTTTCTTTAAGTGTAATACAGGGCTCTAATATTGTTTGGCAACAGTTTAAAAAGTGATTCGCCGTCTATAGTTAATCAACGCAAATGCTAAAACGAAATTAGTAGCCTTCTGGGCAAATTGCCCCTTTAGCCTAAATATTGATTTAAAAACAAATTTACTTTTTAAAATAACATTTTAATGATTTAATTATTTCGCAAACGAACAGAACTCATTATAATGAACGCTGTCTCTCGTAGATGCTAACTAAACGAATTTTCACATTGCTGTGACATGATTTTAGAGGAAAAAAATCGATGATTATTTGAAAGACCTTATTACATAACATTATGACAGAAAAATATTCCTTTCTAAATAGCAATAATCACAATATGACAAATTAGAAGATAACAATAATTACAATGACAGCGAATTGCCATTTATACAGAGAATTTATTGATACAATTTTTTGATAAAATGTGAATACTTTAGCGTAGAGAATTTTATTTTACATAAAAATGGAGGCCTTGGTTCTCTGTGAAGAGATACTGCCAATAGAGGCAAACTATTGGAGGGACTACGCATAGGTTGTAAGCCTAAAAAATTAAAAACTCAGTATGGATTTATTCAAAAAGTCTTGGACATTAAGAAGGACCTTAAGATTTCAGGTAATATACTCTAGAGTTCCTCACTTTTATTCTATCAGATTAAGTGTAGAGAAACAAAAAGAACAGAAACGTAAACTCAAGAAGGGTTAATTACTCTTAATTTTCTCAAAATAAGATTTACAGTCGGCCCCTTCCTCAGGGCGTACAACAAAGCCTCCACTTGGGCTTAAACTCAGAATGTAACAAATAAGAACTAACTAATGACTAACTAAAGAGATTGAGCCGAAGCTAAGACATTTCTAAATCAGTTGTTCTGTAATGTTAAATTTCCCAGCAAACTATCAACAGGCACGTAATATGAAGGAACGCAGTCACAGTTTAGAAAGACGTAGCCCAAAGGAGTGCGCGGGCTACTCAGGAATCGTAACTCTCTCTAGCAAAGTCAGCAGAACTTAAATACTATTTTCCTTCTCATTTGTATTTAACGCGATTCTAAAAACTAATTCTGGTAGGAAGTTGTAAGCTGAAGCTAGGAAAGGTGAACTAAATTAAAATAACTGTTATAAAATTAAAATATGCCTTACAGTACAACCACTCTTGACAACCAGAAACCCTTTAGAGGTGATAAATGTCGGAGTAAGGCTAGATTTAGTGGAAAATATCCGTAGAAAGAAAGATGGTGCATCAAGTGTTTTGAAATATCTCGCTTTGGAGACCATTATTGGCAGATATCCACCTACTATGTGGCTGTACATTTTTACTGATGTTTATCAGTTTGACTGCCATTTTAACATTGAGGGTTGGTGTGTTTTCGGATATTTTTTCTTTTTACGTCCCAGCAAGATACATCGGTGCCTTCTTTGATGATGAAGTAGTAGCCAGCCACTAAAGCAATTATTAGCTATCCATTACAAGTTTGTAAAGGCAGAAATATTTCTGATTCTCACGAAGCTATTCAGTCAATTAGCTCTGTTGAACAACCATTAACACCTAAAATTTTGCAATGTAAAGAATTCCCGAGAACTCGCACTTTAAAAGGTAACAAATTATTCTCCAGTGGGTGCCTGGCCATTATGGTTTTTGGGGCAATGAACAAGTGGACTTCCTTGCAGAAAGAGGTTCAGCTTACTACAAAATCCTAATACAGCCATTTCTTATCGGAGCATTAAACTGTTTTTTTTTTAATATTTACATCTAATATTTTACGAGATCTTCATAATCGTACTTAAAATGTTGGAGTACGTTAAGTCCGTCTCTTATTCCTGGTTGTCCAAGACGCAACGCAGTTTCGGCTCTCCGTCTTTCTATAGGACATGATTGCCTTGCCGCTCACCTCCACCACATAGGCATTTCAAGCAATCCTACTTGCCTACTTTATGATTCAGGAGAAGAAACAGGCAGGAACCACCTGCTCCGATATGGGTCTCTTCGTGGTCTTAGAGAGTCAAGGAACTAAGAAGCAAGAAAGCTCCTTAGGCAATGACTTCAATATTTTTGTTCTAGTTATAGTGTTTGTAACCTCCGTTTTTACGATTTTAGTTCTTTGTAACTTTTTGCCTAGCCACTGGAAGTACAACAAATAGCATTCCTTATAAAATATAAGATATATCTGAAAGAAATGCGTCAGTTTAAAAACTAAAGAGAATTAAATGTTTTATTAATTACTGAAGTATTTATATTACTGAACTTGAATTTGAACTCGCCATTGTTTCTTGTTGCAGATTGCTGTTCCAAGAAGCAGTGCCGGATTTGGATTTACTGTTGCTTGGACAAAGCCTCCTCAAGTAGATTTTATCAATGAAGGTAAGAATGTGCATGAAAGTACTAAGAATATAAAACCTTTTGGTGAAATTTTAAGTGAATGTGAGACAACGGAATTCATTTCAACTTTTTCTTGAACAATTACATTAAAAACGAATTCAGAATTTATATATTGTAAGGTATATTTTAATTTTATAGCAGTTATTTTAATTCTAAAGTGCTTTCTTATCGATTCTTGTTTTGACTTACAACTCCCTACCAGAATGAGGTTTTAGAACCGCGTTGAATGCAAATGAGTTAGAAGGAGTATTAAAGGAAGGTTCAACTTACTCCGAGAGAGAGAGCTAGGAATCCTGAGTAGCGCGTGTTTGTCTTCGGGCTAAATATCTCTTGAAGCTGTTACGCTCGGCTGTATATTACGTACCTTTTGATATTCGCCGGCTAGTTTAAATTAGGGGCCAACTGCGTTAGCTGATTGTGCTAGCTTCGACTAAGTCTCTTAGCTAGTTCTAATTTAGTTTTTATTTCTTATTCTTTGTTTAGGCCCAAATGGAGGCTTTGTTGTAAGCCCGAGAAAGGGGCCAACGCTTCATCCTATTTTGAGTGATATAAAGGGTAATTAATCGTTCTGGAGTCTACGACTTTATTTGGACTCAGCGATAAGTCTGCTAACAGTTCACTAGGTTCTTCGACACTTACTTTAGACAAAAAGAGTGAGGAATTCTACAATATTAACAACTATAAATAGCCATTTTAACTACGTTTAGTTCGAACGGAGAGTTTATTTACAGAAATTTGCGAGAAAATTTCACAATTATCTTTTTTCAAGAAAAATTGAAACATTTTTGACAAATTTGCAACCCTTTTTGATAAATTTCTTTATTTGAATAATAGTCATATTATTAATTCACTTTCTAATACTTGGAGTTCTTTCTGAGACACAAATAAATTTGAATATTTGAGTTCTTAAACCTTAACCTTTATCCTCTGATCAGTATCCATACGCATTATGGAATCAGACTTTCATATTAAACAAATAAAGAATACGGAAGCCCTGAGAATTAAATACGGTATTCACTCGAAAGTAAGACCCTTCAAATTCCTTCTTTTACCATACGATCTTTCTTACATTTATTAAACATTCTAAGGAAACAGATGTAAGTGAATAGTTATTTTGTTTTGCAGTAACACTGAGAAAGAAAAACTTGCTTTATTATCCTACCTTCAGAATTTTCTTATAATAACAGTTCCGCTAGTTGTGGCACAAATTGAAAGTGCTCAGCTAGACGTAGTTGTTACAGTAATTAGTGGTAGTTGTTTTGACTTGAAATCCAACTTCGTTTAATATCCAATTTAATTCACTTTACAAACACATACAGATTAATACGACTATTTAAATAGAGCATTTATTAGAATGATCAAATGAATCTTAATGATGATGAAAAACATTCAGTATTTCAATTACTTCACATTTTAATGATGAAAATATTCAGTATTTCAATTGCGTAGCTTAACTGCTGCTTACTTAGAACGAGAATTTTCCGGTCACAACATTGCAAAACAAAACTGGTTGCCCTATTCATACATCGGCTCTAGTGCAATTCTGAGATTTTTCACAAATGAAAATAGATCGATGTATACATGGACACCGAGTTCGTGCAATTCTTTGATTTGTTATTTTGGTTTTGTGTAGCGGCCATCTTGAAATCGTGCCTTCCTGGCGCCAATCTTGGCATGAAAAAAATCGCCAAAGAAACAAGGGTCATCCAATTGTAAACTTTTATTCATACATCAAACAAAATTACAAAACAAAGGATTAATAATTACAAACTGGAAATGCTAAATTCAGTAGGAATGGCAACAGTAGTTATGCGTTTGGTATTTAGGGTTAAATAATTTATTTAGTATTTAAACAGTGTAATTATTATATGCATTGTAATAATCAAACTTCTTCCTTTCGTTCTGCAATTTCATATTTTAGGGTCATTAGATTATTTTTTTAAAGCAGGAGTGATGAAAAATGAGCAACGCTTTCGCCGGGAATCGAACCACGGAGCTATGGAATACGCGCTCAGTGTGCAAACCAGCACACCACGAAGGTATGTCAAGAAGGCGGGCGAAATACCTTATATATTCCCCCTTCTAAAGGGCGACTGGGGCTTTAGGGGACCCAGTCGAAAAATCCTGGGTGTGGAGAATCATCATCTACCACCCTTTTAGTTCGGGCACCACTGTAGAGACATTAGGAATTTTGAAGCTGGAGTGATGAAAAGTGAGCAACGCCCTCACCGGGAATCGAACCTCGGACCTCTGGAATATGCGCCCAGCGTTCAGACCACCACACCATGAAGGCATGTCAAGAAGGCGTGAGTAATACCTTATAACTTAACAAAATATAATTTTATAGGATTCCATAAAATTTTAGCGCAAAAACACAGCAAAAAATGCGGGTTTATTTTCGAGCAAAAAGAGTAATTGCTTTTATAAAAAGATGTTAAGGAATTTAAAAGAAACTGTACAAGCTTTTCGACTAAATTCTGAAAAACATTAAGAATTTTTAGAATTATTTAAATTTATTTCATTTTATAAAAATAGCTATTGACTTCTAGTTAACAACAGGAAGAAACGAATGCTAATGAGATGTCATGTGCAGTATGCTCTCAGATAGTTGCATATGCCTTAAAAACAGAGATAACAAAAAGTCATTTCACAAGAACAGGACATCTTTATTGTCCCTGCTGCTAAGTTCAGTGATTTTATGTGAAACAACAAAGACAGTCACATCGAATATAAAAATTGTATTACATTCACATCACAGATTTTAGAATCAATGAAGTAGTTTACAGATTTCATTACGATAATGAATTGAATGAAGAATTTCTCTTCACAGATCGAAAAACTTATGCTTTTTAGAATTTATTTCATATTTAACATATCAAGATTGGTATGTTTACAGTTAAAAAATGAATTTGAAATTTTTTAGCCCAAAGGGGCGTTAACCCAGAGGGGTTATTTATTTTGTTTTGGCATTTTGTGACGTTTCACTAAACGGCGTTTCATCTTTCTAATTGTTGCCACCAAATATTAGAGCCCTGAATTATATTTAAATAATGAAGAATCTACATTTTCGCAAACAACAGTACCTAGAGTCATCCAATTTTGAATAATGAACGTCTCCGCACGAAAATGGGCATCTGGAAGCCGAAATTTGAAATTTGTTTTATTACCTAGTTCATTTTTGTAAAGCATTTATGAGTTTTTATTAACAAACTCAACGATTTCAAAGCGAGCAGTGGCAACGCTGTAAGGAAAAAAAAAAAAAAAAAAAAAAAAAACATTTTTATCTTCAGCACGCGAAACTGTGTATCCAAAATTCTAAAGATATGTTCATTTTAGAAATATTTTGCGATATTGGTATTGAATTGAATTTTATGGTTTAAGTGCTAAGAACATGATATTTAATAAATAAAGGTAACGGACAAACCGTTAAAAGAATACCCCTTTAAGCGTAATATAAAATCTGAAAACATTCAGACTTTTTTGCCTTTTTTTGTATTATTTTCCAACTAGGTGTTTTAGGATTAACTGTTTTTGCATCTTTTATAACACATCAGTTTTACTTTGCTTAGTCATCAAACCTCAAATCTTCTTGACATTATTTAAATTTTTAATTCTGTTAATGCATAATTTTTATGCATTGTCTTAATTTTATGTTGAATAAAATCAGCTAAAAGTAACTTAGCGCAGTTCATACATTTTTATTTAAATGCAATTCTGAGTTTTAATGAAACCAAAATTTTGGAAGCTCTTAGAGAATACCATGACCCATTCATAATTCTTAAGGCTTGACATGTTCTGAAAATTAGAAATTTTAATATAAAATACATTAGCTAAAGAAAATGGTGCATACTTGAAAGGACCTATTCTCTCCAATTATACTGTACACTCACTTTTTCGAAAGCAAAATTAAATTTAGAAAAGAGATATAACCTCTTTGTATTCATGAGAAAAACTTCTCAGAGAGTTTTCTTCCAAGAGATTAATTTTGTTTTGTTTTAGCCTAATTTTTCTGTTCATATTACTGCTGTAGTAAAAATTTAAAGAAGTTATTTTTCTCTTAAGTATGTCTGACTTAAGATAAAACTCCCGCGTTTTTTTGCAGTGTCATAGGCTGCTTTCAAATGTTTCTTTTCTGTTTATTTTACCGTTGCTTTATTCGCCTGTAACTGTTGAAATTTATTTCCGTCATACATATTTTAAAAATTTAGTGCAATGAAGTTTTTAACTTCGTCGTAGCATTCAGGAAGTAAGTCTTGCTTTCCCTAAAGAGAAGAGTAGTTCAACCCCTCTGTATATCTTTTAATTTTCATGATAGAGCTGCGTTTGTTCTTTTCGAAACAGGTTTTGTAACATATTGTTACGAAATGTACAGGCACGGTAAGATGGCTTCCCCGGAAAGCAGTTTTAGGGTTGCCATAAAATGGCAAAGGAAGGCAAAGTTGCCATATTTGGCGAGAAATTTCGGCGATATCCCATGGACGAATGGAGAACCTTCTGGAACGTATTCTTACCGGTTTAGCCCAGAACGTTCTCGAACACAAGCCGAAAGCTATATAAACCCTGCTGGTCCGTAGTCAGTTAGTGTTGTCTCGAGAGTGTGCTTCATCAAGAATGCGAGTTAGAGGGCCTCGTCTGGAGTGCGAGTTAGTATCGAGAGTAAGTGCCTTGTCGAGTGCGAGATAGTCAGTATCGAGTTGGTGTTTCGTCTAGCGAGTCAATCCCTGCGGAGTCGATACCCCCGAGTTGACAGCCGGATAGCGAGTGCCGAGTGGGTCGTCGAGTTCACCGAAGGAGTCTCTTAGTATATCGCGGTTAGTGCATCGTCGAGAGAGCGTGCTGAGCTCCGGGAACGACTGAACCGAAGAGTCGGGAGCCGTGCTCTGTGTGTCGTCGAATGTATCGCGAGTTGTAGCGCGGAGAGTCTCGAGAGTACGTGGAGTTCCGAGAACGACCGAGCAGAGTCGGGAGCTGTACTCTGATGCT